ATATAAATTTTGAGTAAGTCAGTGGCTCCTCAAACACTGACAGAACTCACAACTTTCCTGTTCCGCCACATTTAATTAGAGAACTTTACCTTCAGGGCAACGCTCCTGAGTCTGATTGACTTTTGAACTTTTACCTGTAACCGGTTAAGACGCTTTTGTTGACGACAACGATGAAGAAAGAGCTGACTCCGTAAAAGCCCGCAGCCAACAGCTTGACAAAAACTGTCGGGACGTTAGCAGAAGTTTCACTCTGGAGTTTAATGAACGAATCTTCAGCTGAAGAGCTCTTGTCCGCTTCGTTTCTACGTTTGTGGAGTGACGCCATCTTTGATGTAAAGAGCGGAAGTTCGCGAGCCACTGCGCATGTGCAGAGGCGCTCGCAGCTTGTAAACTTGTGTCGAGTACAGTGGTGCTGATTTATTGTGTGCATGCTTAATTTAAACTGTCTAAATAAAGGTTGAATGAAAATTACTGAATGTAATTACTTTTTTAAATAATAATAGCTTTACAATCCGCCTTGTAACTACAAGGTTCAAGGTGACTTTTTGTCATTCGCATCACGTGTGGTACATGAAGTAGAATGAAATTGTGTACTCAAGGTCCCAGTTACACCCCAAAATAGCAAAAATATAAAGTATAAACAAAGAAAACGTATACAAGGAACTAAGAACAAGGATCCGCTAAACAATAATAATATACGGTGTATTAAACAGCAGCCTGAACAAAAACCCACTCCTGCAAGAGATTTTCTCTCTTAACTACTGTGCCATTTTATTTTTTGAGAAGTAAAAAAAAAAAAAAACTTTATAAAAATAATGATGCATTTTTCTTGACATTACCAAAAGTATGAATAGGTCATATCACTAAAAAATCATGTGGAATGTTTTGTTCCATTTTGGCAAAATGATAAAAACTGGGGAAAAAAATAAATAAAAATGTAGACAAAACAAAAGTGGAGAATTTGAATATGTTCGTTTTTATATGCAGTCAGCTTGAAGAATTACTCTTCTGAACTTTTACGCTATAATAATAGAAATTGTAAAGAGGCTATTGAGTCTAAATAAAAGGAACGTTTTTTTAAAAAGTCTCATTTCTTATACAAGGCAGCACGGTGATGCAGTTGGTAGAGCTGTTGTCTATCATCAAGAAGGTTGCTGGTTCAAATCCCTGCCGCGGCATCCCGGGACCTTTCTGGGTGGAGTTTTCATGTTCTCTTCGTGTATGTGTGGGTTTTCTTCAGGTACTCCAGTTTCCTCCCACAGACCAAAAACATGCATGTTAGGCTGATTGGTAACTCTAAATTGTCTCTAGGTGTGAGTGAGAGAGTGAATGGTTGTTTGTCTCATTTGTCACCATGTGTCCCTGTGATGGACTGGAGACCTGTCCAGGGTGTCCCCCGCCCCTCGCACAGTGATGGCTGGACATGGGCACCAGTGACCCTGAAAGGAAAAAGCAGGTAGAGATAATGGATGGATGTTCTCTTATCCAGACATGAAATATACCAAAAATCAAACTCCATACTTTCTAAGAACAAGTACAAACAATGTATTTCAATTATTTCTTCAGTTTGGAAAAGTGTTCAATGGAAAGATTAGAAAATCTGGCAAAAAGGAAATTGTATATCCAGATGTTATGGAATGGGTCCTTCATCAGATTAAAGTCAGTTATGGATGATATTCAAAGGCCTAATGATATTTTATTCCCCAAAGGAATAAAACCAACAACTTTTACAAACGGTAATGACATATTAGCATCTGAAAAGACATGTTTATTAACTAATCACATTTTTTTTTTAAATATAGGCTGGTCCAGAGAGTGATTGAGTAATTCTCTAAAACAAAGTTCAAGCTGAAAGAAAATTTGCATTTTAAAAATCAAGTGTCACTTTTGCTCATACAGACTCACAACAAAATATAATTTGTATGAACCTTCACATTGTTGCAAAGCATATACAAATAATAATAAAAAAAACTCCTCTTAAGCCACGGAACAAAACAAGCACAGAAAAGCAAACTACAAAACCGGATTCCAAAAAAGTTAGGACACTAAACAAATTGTGAATAAAAACTGAATGCAATGATGTGGAGGTGCCAACATCTAATATTTTATTCAGAATAGAACACAAATCACACATCAAAGGTTTAAACTGAGAGAATGTATCATTTTAAGGGAAAAATCTGTTGTTTCCAAATTTCATGGCGTCAACAAATCCCAAAAAAGTTGGGACAAGTCCATTTTTACCACTGTGTGGCATCCCCCCTTCTTCTTACAACACTCAACAGACGTCTGGGGACAGAGGAGACCAGTTTCTCAAGTTTAGAAATAGGAATGCTCTCCCATTCATGTCTAATACAGGCCTCTAACTGTTCAATCGTCTTGGGCCTTCTTTGTCGCACCTTCCTCTTTATGATGCGCCAAATGTTCTCTATAGGTGAAAGATCTGGACTGCAGGCTGGCCATTTCAGTACCCGGATCCTTCTCCTACGTAGCCATGATGTTGTGATTGCTGCAGAATGTGGTCTGGCATTATCGTGTTGAAAAATGCAGGGTCTTCCCTGAAAGAGATGACGTCTAGATGGGAGCATATGTTGTTCTAGAACCTGAACATAGTTCTCTGCATTAATGGTGCCTTTCCAGACATGCAAGCTGCCCATGCCACAAGCGCTCATGCAACCCCATACCATCAGTGATGCAGGCTTCTGAACGGAGCGTTGATAACAACTTGGGCTATCCTTGTCCTCTGGTCCAGATGACATGACGTCCCAGTGTTCCATAAAGAACTTCAAATCGTGACTCATCTGACCACAGAACAGTCTTCCATTTTTCCACACTCCATTTTAAATGACCCCTGGCCCAGTGCAAACGTCTGAGCTTGTGGAGCTTGCTTAGAAATGGCTTCCTCTTTGCACTGTAGAGTTTCAGCTGGCAACAGCGAATGGCAGGGTGGATTGTGTTCACTGACAATGCTTTCTGGAAGTATTCCTGAGCCCATTCTGTTATTTCCTTGACAATGGCATTCCTGTTTGAGGTGCAGTGACGTTTAAGGGCACGGAGATCACGAGCATCAAGTAGAGTTTTACGGCCTTGACCCTTACGCACAGCGATTGTTCCAGATTCTCTGAATCTTTTGATGATGTTATGCACGGTTGATGATGATAACTTAAAAGTCTTTGCTATTTTACGCTGGGTAACACCATTCTGGTATTGCTGCACTATCTTTCTGTGCAACAATGGTGGAATTGGTGATCCTCTTACCATCTTGGCTTCTGAGAGACACTGACACTCTGAGAAGCTCTTTTTATACCCAATCATGTTGTCAGTTGACCTAATTAGTGTTAATTGGTCTTCCAGCTGTTCATTATATGCTCATTTTCCTTTTTCCAGCCACTTATTGCTACTTTTCCCAACTTTTTTGGGATTTGTTGACACTGTGAAATTTTGAATCAACATATTTTTCCTTTAAAATGTTACATTTACTCAGATTAAACTTTTGATCTGTCATCTATGTTATTTTACGAATAAAATATTGACATTTGCCATCTCCACATCATTGCATTCAGTTTTTATTCACAATTTGTTTAGTGTCCCAACTTTTTTGGAATCCGGTTTGTATAACTCTAGAGGATGGCTTTCAAATTTATAAAAAATAATAAAGATTTCTTGTTTATGCTCAGAAACGCACAAATTAAACAGGACTGACTATTCTAGAGACCTTACAGCTCCAAAGTCTAAAGTGTTGGAGTTGAAGTTCAACTCTGACCGACATGGGAGCCAAGGTGCCTGTTTGTTTGTTACACCAAAATATTCCTAAGAACACAACAAAAGAACAGAATTCAGTCGAGACTCAACAGTTTGACAAAAGCTTTGAGTAACAATTTTTGAGCCTTTTGTTCAAATTAAAAATGTTAAAATCATCAGTTTGTCATTAATGTTTGCAGAGGGACCTGTTCACGTTTATTCTTTCACCCTGGCAAAATAAAACTTTCTGATGGTCTTCATCATGCCACACATGGCAGATGTTCAGGCTCATCACTTTATCCTTTAAGACATCAAACCGATCACTCGGCTCACCTCAAAAACAGGGAATTTAGTTTTCATTCCAAATCTTTGTCCTTGCATCCGGCTCGTCTGATTTTAATTTCCACAGCTGTCCTTTGGAACAGTCCTTTTCTAACGTCCTACTGCATTATTTTAATTCACTGACTTTTTTTCTTGCCACTTTTACTGCCCACGTGACAAGCTCTCGTTGCAATCGTGCGTCGCATTCAAACATGGAACAACTTTGATTTTCCTGATCTGTATACATGTTGCCAAAAAACAACTGTTGCATACAATTTTCCATCACTGAACAGGCCCAGCGCTTCTTCAGCATCAGTATTGTTGACCCTTGCCTCAGCAGCTCAGTAGCAACAAAGTTAAAACCTGTAATGCACGACAATCTCTGCAGTGTCTCATCTACTATGGACAAAATTTTCTGAAGAGCAACATCTTCATCCAGACAGTTACAAAATAAATTGTGTATCCCAGAGAACAGGATCACTGGAGCAGAGCCTACGATCTTCAGTTGCACTTCTGTTCTTTGCACGTGGTCAACCTGGTCCACAGCAGATCATAGAACGTTTTTATCCGAGGTCTGGTGAGCATCTTCTCCAAGCTCAACCATCTGTTACTCGCAGCTTGTTCCAAAGTCAAGTGGAGGCAACGGACATCTTTTTTATGCATCCATCTCTTTCAGAACTCCAATGCCAGTCAGAGCTGGGTCATTATTGCAATCTGTCTCTGAGCAGATCAAAACCCAAGGTCACGATCTAGATAAAAAATTTCTATCAAGGTCGTGCCGCAAACTCATTCCTATAAATGGCACCTTCTCAAAGTGGATCGACCAGTTTTCTGGAGACCTCCAGAACCAGCCTTTCACAAAGGAGTTTGGTTATCCAGGAAAGGCCGAGTAGAACCACCACCCCCTTCACTTACAAGTGAAACCAGTTGCCATGGTTATGGCATCTGGTATGTATGGCCGCTGAGCATTTCCCTATGGCCTTCCAGGCATGTCCAACTGGGAGAAGACCCAGGACACACTGGAGAGACTCCTGACCTGGTTTAACAGGGCCAACTCTTCAAAAAAAAAAAAAAAAAAAAAGTCTCCCAGGGATTAGATATTCATCAAATACGTCTTTTATTTGTCATTTATTTATTGGCTCGCCACACCACGCAGAGGCTTTTCTACATCCTATCACATAAGATCCAATGAGATCAGTCTACTCCTCTTAATTCACTTGATAGGCTGCGCTCCCAGAAGAAGGCGGAGCCAACGTATCATCCAGCCCCTTCCGGTCCTTGATCTCGTATCGGCGGGGCCAGAGCTGTAAACTGTAACATTTTCCTGCCTTAATTTAATACAAGTGGTAAACTGAATTCACCTTTCCTTGATTTACTGAGATGGTTACTTCTGAGGGAGTCCGAGCTTTTATTGGATGAACTTCTCACCCCATCTCTGAGGGAGAGTCCATCTACCTCGTCAGGAAATTTCATTTCAACCACCTGCATCCGCAATCTCATTTTTGGTCACTACCTTAGTGAACACAGGTCCTAATTAATGGGAACTACTTAGTAGGAACAGTGATCAACCAGTAATTAGTTCAACTTTTGTTCAGCTGGCCGCAATGATTCTGTACTAAAACTTACACGAGTGCTACATCCATTTAAAACCCACACGCATGCGTTTGTATTCAAAACTGACGTGGAAATGAAAAAAGCCAGTGATAGCACACATGTAACACCTCTAAAGCATTTTATTAGAACAAGGATGTTTGCAGAGAAACTTTTGATTTCCATGTGGCTCAGTCCTACAACAAAACTGCTCCAGCCATCTGTTACCAGTGCATTGCAAGTGAGTTTTTGCAGAATAAAACATGTTCAGCTTTAAATTCACTCCACCCCCCCACCCCTAATATACCTACCCTCCAACATTAACGTGAACTATACCCAGTTTATTAAAAGAAATTGCTCACTGGAAATGCTGACAAAGGTGGCTTAAAGCACCATTAACTTACATTCTGTGGCTCAATGATTGTTCCACAATGACAGCCGACATTTCTTTCAATGTATTATCAGTGCTTCTGCACCGACGTATACAAAAGCAAATGTATGGTTTAAAACAACAAAAAGAGTCTTTAGAGGACTGTGTCCGTTTCAAACCAAGTTCTTTGAGATCTGACGAACAGTAGATACTGTAGGAACAAGCTATGTTCATGGTCCTTTCACCGTTCTTAGCTACATTTAAACAATCACTTCTCAAGAGACAAAGAACTACTTCAGATGAGAACTTGCAGCTTCCTGTAGGAGAACGTCAAGTTCAAAGCAAAGGAATTCTAGCTGTCAGGATCGACATGTTAAAGTCTCACACCGTGCTACACACACGCTCACACTCACACACACAGGGACGGGGGGGGGGGGGGGGGGGGGGGGAGGGGGGTGTGTGTTGGGGGGGGAGAGGCCCT